TTAGGATTAGGCTCTAAAGTATCAGGCATCAATATTTCCCAGCTGCATGAATCTTTCCTAGCTGAATTCCCAAGGATGCCACTTATCACTAGCAGACACCGCAAAGCTACAGAGAAAACACAAATTGGGCTGGAGCATTACTGCCTTCTGCATGATTTACCCCCCTCCCCACACCCCCAGCCTGCCCTGCCCGCAGCCCACCATCTGCTTGCTTATGCAATCTTCCTTCATGCGCCTACTCGTTAGGTAGATAGAGGACCCCCTTTATCAGGGAGAGACTCAGCAACAAGGATCATCAAACCTTTCTTCCCAGGGAGAGGCTACTGACCAGCAAGCAGCAGCTCCTTCTCAGACAAGGTGGAAGAACACACATCCTGAGGTATACACAACGCCAAGGCTCAGTCCGTGGCCTTGATGAGCTGAGGTTGTTACTATGGTGTGCTGGTATTTTCATTTAAAGCACTGTTATGTTTCTAGCACTCATCATTGCAGAGAACACCTAGAAATACAGATTGAATGCATTCAGTAAATGTATGCCTTCCCTAGTCTGTCGATGATCAGACACTTTCATGATTCTACCAACAGAATCACCTCCATTTGTTTTTTCCCCTGCTACCAATTTCCATCAGTGCCCTTCACACCCAATATTGGCAGACTGAAAGGAGAAGGCAAGAGACAAGGCCACTAAATGCCCCTCAGCTGTGTTACTGTGGTTTTGTAGGCCAGCATTAGTTAAATTAGAGAACAGCTGGCAAGCAGAAGCTCCATAAAGCTATGCTTGATGGCTGCCCAGAGAATGTGTCACCAATCTAATAAGGATCTAGGCCCAAACATGATACGGGACATTTCACATAAATAAACCCCAAATATCTGAAGCATATAATTACTTCACAGTTTAAAGACAAATACTAATGCCTGATGCAAGTGAGATTCCTAAAGTAGATGTGTGATCCCCTATGCTGCAAAAGAGGTCAGAGCATGACAAAAGACGTAGAAACCACTCAGAATATGAGCACCAACAGTCTTCTTCCTGCTGCTTCACGGTAGCTGGCAGTGGGAGATCCTGGTTTAGAAAAGCCTACAAAGATGTCCTCCTGTGCCACAAGCATAACCTTGCACTTGAGGAAAGTTTACAACACCCAACAAATCAAGAGGAAGAGAATAAAGGCAAAAAGAGAATTCAGGATAAACTTACAGGTAGCACCATTCAAGACAGCGTTCACTTCCTGCAAGCAAACTTTCTTTTAAAGTGCAATCATAACTGATACTACATGAACTGGATAGCTAGTTCAAACATGCCAGATGTCCACCACCCGAGACAGCACAATGTTTCTTCGCTGCTGACTTCCCCCTTGAGGTTATCAAGGTCATTACTGAAGGAAGACTAGAGGTTGGTTTAACATTTATAATCATTCGTTTTATTTTTAAACTACTTTATGATGATTTATTCTTATTTATCAATCCAGAAATTATTCTTAAACCTCTGAAAACAGTTATGTGTAAGTTTGAGTTTGGTGGGGGGGTTTGGTTTTTTGTTGGGATTTTTTTTTTTTTTTAATAAAATAAAAGCCCAACCATTAATGATGGAATCACTCGTTCCATTTAAAGAACAAAACACAGCTCCCTCCCTCACCACTGCAGGTCAGTTGCCAGGTGCTCACATACTGCAGAACCTCTCTAAACTTTGAGTTTCAGCTAAGCAGTCATAAGCCAAATCATAGATAAGTATTGATGTTTGCCACTCTACAGTTAAATTACATCAAACATCAATGCAATCAACTCATTAGCTGTTTTTTATGGAGCACCAACATTCATTACTTACTTTTCAATTCTTTGATTAAGCAACATATTGCCTGTATTCCCAGTCTACATCTACCAGCTGATTAGCTCAATAATACGGATAATCTTCTCAAGTCAAAAGACCTGGGAAGGGAAGTAACTGAAATCCCTATGAGCAGACTCAATTTACTCCTTTTGTGTATAACATCAATACACTAAACTACTAGCAATACAATCCAGCAAATGAAACTTCAAATGTGCTAAGTTAGAGAGTAATTTTAACAAAAAGTCACAGCAGGTCATTAAAATGCCCCTTAATTGTCTCTAGATCATACTCCGTTATCCTTCCACAACCTTCCTGGCATGCTGAGATTTTAAATCTCTTCTGACTGATGTAAGAACCAAGAACAGAATTGAAGTGTGATTGTCACATACAGAGCCTGAATGCCAAAGGTCAAAACAGCTTACTGGTATGCTGGCCCACCGCTCCAAATTTTATATCTTTTCTGTCCCTCGGTTATTGCCTGACATGATTTAACAACTGTAATTCCTTATTTAACGATGTCAAAGGTTTTTAGGAAATTGACTGTATTTCACCAACGATATATTTCTTCTTGATTACAGAGTGGTTAAAATGATTTTAAACCAAGACAGCAAAATAAAGCAGTAATAAAATCAATAAAAGGTGCTTAAAACATTCCTTCTATTAGGTAATGGCATTTAAAATATCCGTAGCTTGTAATGGCACTTAGGATATGCCCAAAAATCAATGAGCTAAATTACTTATTGAACTAGTTAATTTGAACATTGAGTTTTATATGTATATTGATAAAACAAGCTACAAGAATAATACTGGCTGTATTTGAATTTCATGGTCAGATGTCTCCCTCTGCTGGGAAAAAACCTCTAAAAACTCGACCAGAAATTTTTTTTTGACAGCACCAACACTAAAAGATGTAACGCCTAAAGGACTCCACAAGAGGTCTCTCATTCTCATAGAGTTTGTAAATTAACGCCGCTATTGCTGAAATCTGCGGCGTTAAAAGATGCTAAACACCACAACGCTTTAGATTTCACCCAGAACACCGCCATTTGTTCAAACCTGAGAAATATGAAAAAAAAAACAAAACAAAAAAAAACAAAAAAAAAAAAAACAAAAAAAAAAAAAAACAAACCACCCACATAACATGGGAAAAGTGTAGAAAATAAGGGATATCATAATGCTTTAAAAACAGTGAGACTATCCTCAAGACTTTTGCTAATATTTTTCGTGTTTATAACTACTCCATAGCAGATTCAGGAATAACAGCTCAGGTTTTTTATTTTCTTGCTCAAAGTAAACTACAACAGACAAGCTCTGTGTCCACCAGGTCCTACTCTTGAGGTGCAAACACCCTCCTACAAAGACTAGCCTAAGCACTCCACTTAGTTCAGAGTCTTTTTCTCCTTTACGTCAGGGAAAACTGCACTTCAGAGGAAGAACAGGACAGGCTGACGAATGTTGGTTTTGCCTACAAAACAAATTAGCCTAACGGAGTCCCCTTGGAAGGAAACAAACACTAACAGTAATAAAGATTTCTTGACTATTTACACAGACTTTTATCACTGCAGCAGTGGGAACGCTGAAGTTACCCAAAGCTCTGGAACAAAAGGCAGAGTGATGGAGTTTCTTCCAGCCCAGGCTGCAGCAACTCCCGAAGTTGCAGAGACAGGCTCAGAAGCAGAGTCTTGAGGCAGAGCGCAGAGCTAAGGAGGTCAGGATGTCACCCTCTCTATGCTATTAGTGCTTTCACTATCGAGACTAGGACAGCCCCACCGCGTTCTAAACCTGCAGTCTAGTGGTAACGGTAAGATTACCACATCATTCAGAGGCTGCTCTCATTTTTGAAAGGTATTAGTGATTAGGAGACATTCCTGATAAGTGGGGGGAAAAAAAAAAATAGGCAAATTCCACAGTCATGTTCCACAGGAGCAGCAGAGGGAGTCGGGGGGGGGGGGCAGCCCCTGAAGCCACTGTCCCTGGAAGGGTTGCGGGGCAAACGCTCCTGCGGGCCGTTCAGCGAGCAGCCTGGGGCCGGGCGGGGCTGCGCGCCCCGCTCCGACCCTGCCCGCCCAGCTCCCCGCGGGCGACCCCCAGCCCCAGCCCCACAGCCGCCCCCCCACTCCTCCCTCAGGCGGGGCGCAGCTGCGGGGATGGGAGACCAGGACCCCCGCAGCTCCCCCCCGGCCGAGGGCCGCTCGCCGGCTGCCCGCCTCCCTGCTCCGCCGGCCCGCCCCTCACCTCCGGGCGGAGCGAGCCGACTGCCCCAAGATGGTGCCGCGCCAGCGACAGCGGAGACGCACCTCCCCAAGATGGCGGCGTCCCGCCACCTCTCCAAGATGGTGCCCGAGCAGCGACGACGACGACCTCTTAAAGATGGCGGCGGAGGCCCCGCCCCGGCGCGGGGCAGGCTGGGAGCGGGGCCGCGCGGCGGGGAGCGGGCCTGGTGCGGGCGGTCGGGCCGGGCTGGCGGCGGAGCGGCGCGGAGCGGGGCCGGGCGGGCGCCATGCCGGAGCTGGCGGTGGAGCGGGTGGTGGTGCACCCGCTGGTGCTGCTCAGCGTCGTCGATCACTTCAACAGGTGGGGCCGGAGAGGACGCGGAGGACGCGGAGCTGAGTCACGGTCACGGGCCGGGCCGGGCTGGGCCGCGGGGGGAGCGGGGCCCTGAGGGGAGCGGGGCCCTGAGGGGAGCGGGGCCCCGGGGCGGGCAGGTCGGAGCGGAGGGGACCCCGCGCCGTGAGGGGAGCGGCGCGCCCGGGCCCGGGCCGGTGTCTCGGTGCCGAGGGCCGCCATCCCGGGTGGCGGCGGGAGCGCGGCCCGCGGGACCCCCCCCCGCCCCGCCGCCGCCGTTGTTGTTTTCATGAGGTGAAAAGCCCCGGGGGTGGGGAGCGCTCGGATGCCCTGAGGGGGCTGTCGGCGCCCTTCCCCGGAAACCACGTCCTGCTCCTTAAAACGCGAGCGGAGAAGTGGGGCTTGTTCCTAAAGCTGCGGCTTGGCGGGGCGGGGGTTAACTCCCATCCCTCTAAACACCTAGTGTAATTTGTGCCTAATTTAACTTAACTGCGCCGCTTGACAAGCAGTTTTAATGTCAAAAATTAAACCCAAATCTCACCAGGCAAACAGGCCTGCTGTTGTGCCGGCAGATTGCGGGTGACACCGAGCAGTTTAAGAGCTTACTCACTTTTTTATAGCCCATTGTCCTGCGGAGAGGCTGCAATGGTGCTTGTTTTGGGTCACGTTCCCCCTTAGTAGCTGCATCCGGCCACGTAGTCTTTCTGCATTGCTGGGTTACAAGGTTTGATTCAGAGGGCACCATAATGCCTTTTTCTGGATGTAAATTAGCAGTCAGTAATAAAACAATCATAACGTCTCCTCTTCTGTTCCAACACCGGTAGTGTTTAACTTGCAGAAATTGGTGAAGCAAGCGGTCCGCTCTTACCTTCTTTCCTGAATCAGGCTCTTTGCCATAGGAACTGACAGTCTTTTCCATTTAGAATAGGAAAAGTTGGAAATCAGAAACGGGTCGTTGGTGTGCTGCTGGGCTCGTGGCAGAAAAAAATACTAGATGTGTCCAACAGTTTTGCAGGTGAGTTTGGGTGTCCTACCCGTGTTCGAACCCACTGAATTATTTAATAGATGAATTGCATTTGGGTCTTTTTTAAGCCACCCTGCCAGAGCACAGATTGTTCCCTCCACGTACAAATCAGCCTATATCTAAGAAAAAAATGCTAACTGCTGTCAAAAATGTGCCTATTCCAGCCAGTCTTGTGCTGCATCTTCCCTGTAATATTGTGCAATGTGGAATGTTTCGGGAGCGGGTGTAAACCTCTCTGAAAATGCTGGTGACTATTTTGCTGCGTTGGACTCGCTGACCTCTGCTGAGCGATCAGTGTCGCAACATGTCATACAGAAATCGCAGCACTCGTGTAAAGATTTAATACGTACCTCAGCTTTACATTTTTTCCCTCAGTTTGTCCAATTAAATCCTAGTTCTTTCCTTAAGTATGTTGTTAATAGTGTTGAAATAGTTTCCTCTAAATACTTATATGTAATAGTAAAAATACCTATTGAACGCATGGCATTTGCTGACCCATTTGTGTTAGATCTTTTCCTTCCCAGTGGGGCTACTCTGTGACAAAGCAAAATTATCTCAGTTTATATATGGAGTTTCACAGTTTATATGGCGTTCTTCTCCCAAGCGTGGACTTTTTTTTCTTCCAGTTTTGGAAGAACATTTTTCCATTTAAGTTGAAAAGGTGGGGGGTTTTTGTCATTTTGACAGCCTTTCAACTATGAAGCTTTTACTAGACCTGTAAATTAAAAGAGGCCAGTCTTTGTTCTCAGAGCGTGTGCGCCTGTATACATGCTCACTGATAAAATAACTAGTTGTTTACTCAAGGGTAAATAGTCCTTACTTGAAGTGCCTCATGGTGTTGTAGTAGTCTTTAAAAGTGCTGATGACACGTTTTCTACACTGAAAGCTAATTTTTCTTTAAGTAGATTGCTGTTAATCAACAAGCTATGAAGTCTGCTGGGATACTTGGTTCATCATCTCAAATGTCTGTGCACACTGTTGACTCACTTTTGTACGTGGGAGGATTTCTCTCCACTGAGGATAACCCTCAGAAAACTTTGCATTCCATTCCTCTGGTCTGAACTGTTGGTATGATGGGACAGGCCCCACCTGGGAGAACTGCCCCGCGCTGCAGGTTGGCTTGTGCAGCCCAGTGTCGCAGAGCAAAGCTGGTTAAAATCCACTTTCCTTCAGCAGCCAGAGTGCTTCTATAAACATTGTTGTTCTGGAAGTTGGGTTCTTACATATTGATGTTTTGGTTTATTTGCAGTACCTTTTGATGAGGATGACAAGGATGATACTGTGTGGTTTCTAGATCATGACTATCTGGAGAACATGTATGGAATGTTTAAGAAGGTCAACGGTAAGTCGAGGTCTTCTTGCAGTTGGGGATACGCTCGTAGAAACTTTCAAGGCTCCCTATGGGGAAGTGAATTCATAGTAAGGTAGAGAGTTAATTGCTCACATAAGAAGCCACGCCATGCTAATTCCTTGCATGGCTTCACTTTCACTGATGGTTTTCCATGGGTTAATTTGTGCAAGTAGTTTGTGTTCTTAACACATTGATTTTATGCCTCGCTAGTTTTCCCACGTCTCCTGACAGCTTTGTATCTTCAGAACAATTCAGATTTCAAAAACACCGTTGTTTCTGAAGAATTTCAAAGATTCCTCCTCTGTAACCCTCTCTATACCGATGTGCCCTGAAGTTAGTTTTTTATGAAAGTAAACATTACAAACTCACATTCTGTAAGTTATTCCAATTGCTCTGCACCAACTTTTAAAAAAGCGTCTTTACTGCTCAGTTGGAGATGAGCTGAATGTTCAGTCATAACTTCAATTCCTATGAATTTTCTTGGCCCTGGCACCAGTTGCCATTCTCATGATACAGTTTGCATTTCTGGAATTTTTGCCTTTCTAGATGTCAGAATTTCAAGCTGTCAGATCCTGATATCTGAAAAATTAATAAGTGATGTGAAATAACCCAGTTTAGTCAAGAACTTAGGAGTAAGGTTTTATATGTGATTAGTAAGCTACGATAAGTAAGTATGATTAGTAAACTTTGTCGCTAGCCATGCCATTGTGTTGCCTACTGTAATTCACTTCCCTCTACTTTACACTCATCTTCTGCACGTATCAGATTTTCACCCTTGACTTGCTAATTCAATCTCGGCCTAAATCTTTCTGCTGTTGTCTTACCATGTGATTCTGATTTAGAATCCTTTCTGGTTTTGCTCAGCTAGAGAAAGAATAGTTGGTTGGTACCACACAGGCCCCAAACTGCACAAGAATGACATCGCCATCAATGAACTGATGAAAAGATACTGTCCTAACTCTGTAAGTGTGGCACTTTTTTGGTTTTGGGTTTTTTTTTTTTCGCCCTCTCTCTTCCTAAATGGGGGATCTGGGAACCCTTAGCCCCCACCTTTGTTACTGATGATACAGCATGTTAAAGACCTGGTAGCTGTAAAGTGTTTGAGGAACTCTGATCAGAGCCTTTTGAAACAGCGAGAGATGTCTTTTCTCAGTGCCTGAAGTTAACACCTCTGAGCAGCCAGTGTGCAATCACTGCAGAGTGAAGCACTGACTTAGGTATTTTTTCCTGCTCTTTGAATGAACCCTAGTTTTCTGAAACATTTGCTTTTTCCATAAGGTGTTGGTGATTATTGATGTGAAGCCAAAGGACCTGGGGCTGCCCACAGAAGCTTATATTTCGGTTGAAGAAGTTCACGACGTGAGTACTTTAAGATGTCTCTCTGCCTTTTCCTGGAAGAAGGGTTTCCGTTAAAAGCTGGCTGTTAGGATTGCCTGTTTTCGGAACAATGCACATCCCATGGCACAGAGTTGCCTTTTACACGTGGGATGTTGCACTCACGAGTGAGGGCCTGTGACTTGCAACCAAAATCTGCTGAAACCAGCAGTTAAATCCCAGTTGTGATGTAAGCATTTGTAACTAAAGCTTTCGTCCACCAACGCTCTGGGCAGAAAAGCTGCGTGTTACTGCTTGACCTAAGGAATTCCACCGCTCCAGCTGTCTGTGTGATTTAGGTGCTTCTTACCCGTTTCTGTCACGTCCATGACCATGAAGAAAGTCACAGATTGGAGCACTTTTAAGTTGTTGCTTTTATATGTCAGCCTGTTGTAGAGGTGTTCTGAGTAATTGCATGCTTATTCATTTGTGCACCTGCCAGTGCTGAGTAGGTAGGTGAGGCATGAGCAACGCTTAGTAATCACTTGCAGCACCGTGGAGACAAACAACCTGCAGTAGTACGTCAGCTTTAGCTTTTCATTTATTTGATTTAAATTACATTCTGGATGTATATAAAAAAGTTTGATCGTTTTCTCTTTGAGACCCTCACTACAGAGAAAAACCTGCTCCCAGCGTTGTAGATGTCGTACCTGCAGGATTTGTTCTTTGTTTTGTGAATTCACAGTAGTCCCAGTGGTGCTTTCTACTAACAGCTGTATACTGGTCCAGGTAACAGTTTTGAAAACACCTGGGTAAAACTCAGTTCTTAGAAATACAGCCTGTGAATCTTTTAAACATCTTCCTGAATATCCAGTGCATAAATTACATTTTTAATGAGATTGTTCCATATTAGTATTTTCTTTATGAAACTACATATGTGCTTCTAACTTGAGAGCAACTACCAGGTTGACAAAAGGTATCCCAAAACGTGGTAAGGTTGTATCAGGAAAGAAAGAATGAATTGTGATACTTAGTGAGACTTTTCATTCTACCCACCAGTACATAGACAGCAAAGTACATTAACTGAAAATTACACGGAGCACAAGAAATTAGAAATTGCTAGCAACTCTGGGCTTGTGACAGTCGGTAACAATAACTAAAGCAAGAAAAATCCAACTAGAGCCTTTCCTCTCAGATTTCTGGTGGACTGTACGTACATAACTACTTTGCTCATTTCATTAATGCAGCTTCTCATCTTCTATCGAAAACTGTGATTTTAAAAGGCATTGTGATTCACTCACACGCTTCTCCCCTCAGCTGTGTTCCTCAGTCCCCTGATGCTCTTGCTTTGCCATAATTTCCCCCGTTGCCTCTTCCCGATCCTGGGAACGGGCGTCAGTTAATCTTACGCCGTGACGTTGTGCGCGCGGCCCCGTGCTCGCGCGCGGGGGGCCCGTCCGGGCGAGCTGGCCTGCGCCTGCGGCCAGCTCCGTGCCCGGTCTGACCGTGTCTCCTGTACCCTTGCACCTCGAAGGACGGCACTCCCACCTCCAAGACGTTTGAGCATGTGACTAGCGAGATCGGAGCGGAGGAGGCAGAGGAAGTTGGTGTTGAACACTTGCTACGGTAAGCGCCTCTAACGTGAAAGCGTCCTTACGAGACGTGCGTAGCAGTGAACGCGATCCATCTGGCATCTGCCGGCGCCAGCTGCCCGGAGGACGCGCGGCTCTTGTTAAGCACGCCGCTTAGGCGGAGCGCTTTCATTGAGCAGTCTTGCTTGGCGTAGTCACTCATCCCTAGGGAAAAGCGGGGCTGCCCACCGATGAGATGATGAAAGCTCCATACTGGTTCTGTGAGAGCGGCAGAGCCCTGCGTCGTTGGGAGCTGTCGCTGTGTACCTCACAGAGCGGGGCTCAACGGGAGTAGTGCCGAGGGGGCTGTAGCTCTCGGGTCAAAATCAGAGAGCAGTCACCCTGCACAAACCACGTCGCCTTTTCGCCGGTCAGAAGCCCTGTTGCTAATTTCTCTCTGTCCCTCTAACTGGCGTTACAAATACTATTCCAAGAAGAACGTGCGCACGCCACAGGCTACAACAATGATCTATTTTAGATATACTTTGTAGTGTACATCAGTTCGTTCTCATTCTTTGACTTGAAGCATTCATTTCAAGTGTACTTCAGCCGTGCTTCGAAGGGCTTTTCTTTCTAAGCTGGAAGGATCTTGTAA